AACTCATGAACCGTGAGATCATGACCTGACCCGAAGTCAGACACTTAACCGACTGAGCCACCCAGGCGCCCCAATTTTGGTGTTTCTTTAGCAAGCGATCTGAAAAGGCTTGAGTCGTAGTGGGTCCTGCCACCCACACCCGTAGCTGTCCCCCACAGAGTTGACTCCTGGAAGTCTCCAGAGTCAAATATGAACCCAGTCCTGGTGTGCCCCCAGGGCAGTTGAAGTTGAAGTTACATCAGAGTCCATTCAAAATGTTTGGATGCTCCAAAGTGATCTTTAATTATTCAGTGGAACTTGTTTTCTTTTGGCTTATCTAATAAAAGAAGGTAGTTGAGGTTGTATTATTTAAATTGTGTCTCTTAGTGGGGACAGCTCCTTCATTCTACTTTAGAAATTAGAAATTAAGATAGTCCTTAATGCTTCCTGAGGTCCACTTAAGAGATGCTCTGGTGGTTTTTTTAAAGTGGCCTTGCCTTGTCTGAAGTGGCAGCGTGTGGAGATGAAGAAACATTAATCCTCTAAGACAACCGTCATTCCATTTCAGGTGTTTAAGGATAATTGCTGCAAGAGAGAGATTCTGGCTCTTCAGATCTACTGCAGGAACGAGGGCGGGGGCTGCACAGAGCAGTTGACCCTGGGACACCTGCTGGTAAGTCCCGGGGCGGTGGGGGTCAGGGTCGGGCCTACTGTGAGGAAGGCGCTTCCCAAGCGTGCAGGCTGGTGTGCACCGGAAAGACCACGTTTACGTTGATGTCCAAAACACAACCAGACATGAAGGCGGCCCAAGCCGCTTGGGTACCGAGTGTTATTTTTATGATGTTGGCAGAACTGCCAACTGGTTTTTAAACACCCCCAGCCTATTTAGAATGGAAAGAAATCTGAACTGATTTTTAATTTTGGAAGGCTCATTAAAACTTTCTCTCTCTCTCTTTTTTTTTTTTTAAATCATGAAACTCAACATCTTACGTCTTTTGATTAGCATCATATTTTATCCTGGAAGATATTTGAATTGGACTTTTTTAAAAAATGTTTATTTATATTTGAGAGAGAGACAGCGTGTGCACACGCACAAGTGTGGGGGAGAGGCAGAGAATGAGGGGGACAGAGGATGTGAAGCAGGTCCCATGCTGACAGCACAGAGCCTGACGTGGGGCTCGAACTCACAAACCGTGAGATCATGCCCTGAACCAGAGTGAGACACTTAACTGACTGAGCCACCCAGGCGCCCCAGGATATTTGAATTGGAATAAAACAAAGTCCTTAGCAGATAACCATTCATTTGCCCAGGGAGGAGAGTCGGCTTGCTCCTTTGAAAAGCAGTATAGTTTGAGTAATCGCTAAATAGAATATGAAATTCATCGTCTCCCAGTATGTTTGCCACCCTTCTCTGTGAAACCTAGTCTGGTGGCGGATGGAAACATTTCTGGAGGAGTTAGCTGCGTAGAGGCTGGAATCTGGTATTTCCGATCGAATTTCTATGCCAATTAAGAATTTTGAAGCGTTTGTTTTACAGGTGCATTTAAAGAATGATTGCCAGTTTGAAGAGCTGTCGTGTGTCCGCGCTGACTGCAAAGAGAAAGTGTTGAGAAGAGACCTGCGTGACCACGTGGAAAAGGCCTGCAAGTACCGGGAGGCCACGTGCAGCCACTGCAAAAGTCAGGTCCCGATGATCACGCTGCAGGTGCCCGGCCCTCCTGTCTCCCCTGCCTGCTGCTCAGTCCAGGTGTAATTTGTCACAGAATAGCGTTCGAAACGACTATTCTAAGAGGAACAAAGAGAGAAGACAGGAGTAAATAGCAGTTCTCATCTGACTTTAAGTCACAGTCCAGCTTTATTTGTTTTTGCCCATTTTGATTTGTGTGATTAACATTTCCCCATTGCTTTGATTGACTATCCCTTGGGATGCCAAAAAAATGAGGACTGATTATCAAAAAAGGTAGAAATTTTCTTTTGTCCCAGGAAATGTCCTCAAAATCTTCTGGGATTGCCTCATCTTTTAAGCAGCTCTGGGACGTAGTCACCACTTCACTAGGGTAATTCATCCTGCGGTATTGAAGTGCAGCTGTCTGTCTTGGAGAGAGATGCAGATTTAACATTTTTCATACCTCGATTATTTTGGCACAGGTCTGTATTGTGCATGTGGCAGAAAGCAGATCCCTTATCTGTAAGTTAGAAAGAGATGTTGGGAGCAGAGGACAGACTTTGAAAACAGTCAGTGGTACAGTAACCCTCAAATGTTTGTCCATTTCTGGAACAAATATTCACTGCACGCCTGCTGCGTGCTGGGCACCGTTCTGGGAGCCGGGGGTTCAGTGGTAAGGTTCACCTTCCAGTGGGAAGAGGTGATTAACACGCAGACATACTGTGTGGTAGCAGCTTGTACTGTGAAGAACAACACACTAGCATCATGGGAAGAGGGCTGATGAGGGCTGGTGTCCCCGAGGCCGTCAGTGGCCGGTGCGGGGAGAGTGCCCTGGGCAGAGGGAACTGGCCTGGCAGGCGGGTTTCGGGAACCGCGAGAGGCCCGTATGGCTCCCAGGCCCGGGGCAGAGGCACAGTGCAGAGGAGAGGGTGGGGTCAGGCAGCGGGCAGCCGTGAGCAAGGGGGTGATGTCAGAGTTCCCCGTTACGGGCAGCGCTCTGGCAGGTGTCCCAGGTAGACGTAGGGTAAGAGGAAAACATGCAGGCAAGGCACGGTATTGGCCTGCGCAGGAGGAAGGAGGGAGGAGCCGGTGCACAGGGGCACGTCTGGAAGGTAGAGGCGGAGGGATTAGCTGGTGGCTTGACTGTGGAGAATGTGAAGGATGGCACCCAGCGTTTGTAACTAGAGCAGCTGGAGCAACTGAAGTGTCTACGGAGGGGGGCGCAGTAGAGCGAAACAGGCTCGGGAGGGGGGTCGGGGAGTTGGTCTGGGCTGCGGGTGCGGCTTGATGAGGTGGTCCTTGTAGCTTTGGCACTGGGGCCAGCGAGGAGGAGAGCCAGGGTCCGAGGACAGAGGCCTGGGGCACATGAACGCTTACAGGCTGCTGAGGGGGAGGCGTCTAGCAAAGGAGTGGCCGGTGTGGAAGGGTCGGGAGACTGGTGCTCCAGAGGCAGAGGGAGCCAGAGAGTGTGGGGGCGGCAGGAAGGGCAGACGTTACTGAGAGGCGGGGGAGGGGAGAGGTTGCTGGGAGCACCCTGACTGATGGGACCAGCAGGCAGGAGAGGACCAGAGGCGTGTGGCCGGGGTGTGGGGGCCACTGTTGGTTCCCGGTGGATATTGTGGAACATTTATTGACCAAAATTTAGGAAAAGTTTGTTTTTCTGTAGGAAATGAGATGTACCCTAAATTCATAATCTTTATAATTTACCTTACTTTGTACACCTTTCTGACACCTGCGACTTTCTTCTCTTGTGAAATCTTTTTCCTGTATGATTTCTGTAGACATTTCTAGTTATTAAGGACTTTTCAGAACTGTGGAAAATGGGAATAGTGTTCATTCTAATTGAATAATTCCTTCAGTAACTAGATTCAAGTGAACGAGACATATGCCTAATGAGCACTACTCCAGACTTACATGTGTTGCTAGGTTGCTACCAAAGTTATACTTTGCTTCTTGCAAAAATCAGTTATCTTTATTTGCAGAATAGAACCCAGGAATTAATTTTCATTTGAGAAAGAATTGTAGTGTCGGTTAAACACTATATAAGTAACTGACTCTGAATTACAGAGGAGGCTGTAAAGAGACTTTTTAAAAAATATATTTATTTTTTAATGTTTATTTCTGAGAGAGAGAGAGAGAGAGAGAGAGAGAGAGAGAGTGAGAGCAGCGGAGGGGCAGAGACAGAGGGAGACACAGAATCCCAGGCAGGCTCCAGGCTCCAAGCTGTCAGCACAGAGCCCGACGTGGGGCTCGAACCCACGAACCGTGAGATCATGACTTGAGCTGAAGTCGGACGCTTAACCGACAGAGCCACCCAGGCGCCCCATGAGAACAGTTTTTAAACAGACACGAGAGGGTGGCTTGAGGCACATGTCAGTTTCCGTCAAGACCTGTAATAGAGATGAGGGGCGTGCCTGCTTGAGATCACTTTGGTGAACCTCTCCCCTGACACCAGCAGGGCAGTTACATGCCCGGGAGGGGACTTGCCCTGGACCTGCCCTGGGCCTCCTGTCCTGTCAGTGCTGGGATTTGACTCCCGGGTCTCATTTTGCGGCTAGGAGCACACTTTGTTTGGTCCTCTCCTGCCGCAAGTTTATTTTCAGAAACAGCAGCCTTCTGACTTCGGCATGTCTGCAGCCCCAGGTCATCCTGACACTCCCACATTTCCTGTGTTTTATCAAGTACGTCACATACATCAAACGTTGATGAAATACACACTGACAGAACCAAAACCCTGGGCCACTGCAGTTCATAGAATTTCTTTCCTACGTGTAAACCATGGTATTGACATTATATCAGCTGTTTTCAAGTTTTTTTAATTTATTTTTTGTAATGTTTGTTTATTTTTGAGAGAGAGAGAGAGAGAGCACTAGCATGAGTGGGGGAGGGGCAGACAGAGAGGGAGACACAGAATCCGAAGCAGGCTCCAGGCTCTGAGCTGTCAGCACAGAGCCCCACGTGGGGCCTGAACTCAGGAACTGTGAGATCATGACCTGAGCTGAAGTTGGATGCTTAACTGACTGAGCCACCCAGGCGCCCCAAGTTTTTTGTTTGTTTGTTTTTTGTTTTAATCCATCGATCAGCACAAGTTAAAGTGCCAGGAGAGAATCCCTTCCACATTTTGTCTAGGAATTGTTAAATATGGTCTCTTTATTTTATTTACTTCTACTTGTTTTTTATTTTTTCATTTTATTTATTTATTTGAGAGAGCGCAAGTGGGGAAGGGCCAGAAAGAGAGGGGGACAGAGGATCTGAAGCAGGCTCTGGGCTGACAGTAGTGAGCCCGGTGCAGGGCTCGAATTCATGAACTGTGAGATCATGACCTGAGCTGAAGTCGGATGCGTAACTGACTGAGCCACCCAGGTGCCCCCGAATATGGTCTCTTGAAACAGTTTTGTTAATTTGTGGGAAGTCAGAATTCTAAAGATCTCATTTTGTGGGAAGGTTGTATGTATTGTAATGGGAATATGTCCAGGTACAGCCACTGTGGAAAACCACTTGGCAGTGTTTTATTAGGTGGACCGTGCATGTACTCAGCTAATTAGCAGTCCCTCCCCCAGCTGTGTGAGAGAAGCTGTCACACGTACACACCAGGAGATAGGGCCACACTAACCGAGCAGAGAAATCTGGAAACGGCCCCAGGCGTCCGTCAGCTGGAGAAGGGACGCATCAGTTGTGTGGAGCCGGCAGACTGGGACGGAGCAGGGAAATCGTAGGACGGCGTTACCAGACAACAGTGCAGGTGGGCCTGGCGCTCGTGTGACACGGGCATGAGCCTGAGAGGCAGAATGCTGTGCTGGCTCTCAGAGGACCCATAGGGTAGAGTTCTGTTTTAATAAAATTCAAAAGCAATCGAAGCAAAACCGTATTTTGTTTGGCCCACATATACGTGCAATGAAATTTTTTTTTAAGCAAAGGAAGCAGAAACACAAAATTCTGATTTGGGGTTCAGGCGTTCCTCCCTGGAGGAAAGTGGGGAGAGTTGGAGAAGGGCACACAGGTCAATGGGAAGTCATTGGTCCCCTGCTTGTCCTTGGTGGCATAACTACACAGTAGACACGCCTTATGCCTTGCACATGGGTTACGTGTAATTTCATAGACCAGACTAATTCATTAGTGTGGAGAGAATTCTTATGTGTCAGTAGGTTTTCAGGTTTTTTACTGGGTGTATTATTTTCCTGGGGCCGGCGTAAGAAAGTACCACAAAGTTGGTGGCTTGGAACAACAGAAGTTTATTCTCTCACAGTTCTGGACACCCGAAATCCAAAACCAGGCTGTTGTCAGGGCCCTGCTCCCTCCGAGAGCCCCAGGAGGGACCTTTTCCCTACTCAGATACCTTCTTCTGGGTGTGGCCCCTCCACTCATAAGGGCTCCCAGGGTTGCATTCAGAGGCCCCATCGTAACTGATTATAGCCACAAAGACCCTATTTCCAAATAAGGTCATATTCTGAGGTTCTGGAGAGACATGAATTGGGGGGCTCACTATTCAATCCACTACATTGGGCAAAAACTGTGAAAAGGCAATTCACAGGAAATAGAAATGATTAATAAATATGAAAAATACACTTAACCACACATTATTAAATAATTGCAGGGGCGCCTGGGGTGGCCCAGTCAGTTAAGCATCAGACTCGTGATTTCAGCTCAGGTCATGATCTCACGGTTGTGAGATCGAGCCCCGAGTCAGGCTCAGCACTGGGTGTGGCGCCCACTGGAGATTCTCTCTCTCCCTCCCTCCTTCTGTCCCCTCCCCGACTTGTGTGCACACACGCGCATGCACACACACTCTCAAAAAAAAATTTTTTTTTTAATGTAAAAAAATTGCAAATTACACTCCTGGCCTTTTCCACCTGTCAGGTGGTCAGAGATTGAAAAGTTTGCTAGAATTGACAAGGGTGTAGGAGTGTGTGTTCTATCGACAGGAGTGGGTTTGTGCAGGGTTATTGGAGGGTGGTTTGGCAATGTCTGTCAAGATTCATTTAAAATGCCTGTCTGTACCCTCTGATACCCAAGCCTACTTCTGGAAGTCTGTTGTTCAGATACCCTTCCATGGATCTGCAGAGACACACATTTGAGGATACAGACGGGTCTGGCCCCAGCCTCGCCTCCCACCCTTCCCTCCCCACCCCCTGCCCCGGCTCCCCACCCAGCCTCCCCTTGCCTCAGTGCTGATTACCTGTGTGCTGGCCTGGGGAATGGAGGGGGATTGAGGGGTAGTTCAGGAAGGAGGCATGGCACCTGTGCATCGTTTGCCCTGTGACCCCTCCAGGCTCCTGATTCAGGGCCGCTCCTCCCACTTATACATGAGGCAGGGGGTGGAGCCATTTGTCCAGGGTTTCCCATTGAAAGACAAAGTCTAGGGGATTCCACGCACAGCCGGGAAATGGAAAGCCAGTGTCCCCCGTGTGGTACCTCTTATGGGAGGCCTGCTGGTCAGGCTCAGCCCAGCCAAGCGCTTTCTGTTGAGCTCTGAGCAGGTGTGGCTGCGCCCTCTGGGAGCTCTCCCAAGCCCAGGAGCAGAGCAGCCTCGAATCGTGGGTGCCTTCTCTGCACTGCAGACCGTCGCACAGTGCGCTCACAGACCCCGGACTTAAAAACACTCTGAAGCAAGCTGAGTGCGGTGCCCAGCTCCACACTGTGCCTGCCTAGTCAGATTGAGGCTCTCGGCTAGTGCCCCCTGCCACCCTCCCCGTCATTCAGCTTCGCAGCAGCACAACTGTCGAGCCCTAATCTGGAAAACCGGATTAGGAGAATCAGAAGTGTCCCAGGGTCACAGAGGAAAACAGCAAGCACCCGGGCTCCCTTCTTGCTCAGTGATGCTGCCCCCAGGAGCCTGTCCCACATGTTGTGTCATGTGGCCTGCGGTCACGTGTGTTTTCTGCCTACATCGGTCTCTCTCTGGTGGCCTCTCGTCACATGTCTGGTGGTGCTCTCCAGGGTCTTGGGTTCCATGCCCTAACTTTGCTATTGATCAGATGCCCAGCAGGTGCTTCGGGCCTGGGTTCAGCAGTTGCCATCATCCAGGCTCTCCAAAGTTGAAATTTGTACCATCCAAAGAAGGGCTAAAGTGGGGCACCTGAGTGGTTCGTTCAGTAGGTTAAGTGTTCGACTCTTGGTTTCCTCTCAGGTCATGATCTCACAGTTCACCCCACATCGGGCTCTGTACTGACAGTGCAGAGCCTGCTTGGGATTCGCTCTCTCCCTCTCTTCTGCCCCTCTCCCACTCGTGCTCTCTCTCGTTCTCTGTCTCAAAATAAATAAACTTTAGGGGGGGAAAAAGGACTAAACCAAAATTTGTCCATATTTTCCATGCATTAAAGATAATCTAGGTAAGGTTTCAGGGCAGTAATTTAAAGACCCAGTGGCTCACACTGTTGGAAGTATTGGACAAGCATCATTTCCAGATCCCAAACTGAGAGGCCAAAGGAAAACCATCCTGATCTGTGAGCAGAGGCTGGACACTGGGCTGCAGCGTGAGCAACGGCGAGGGCTGAGCCTGTCTGTGCTCTCGTGTCAGGGCTGTGTGGGCACAGAGAGGTGCTGCCCCGTGGAGGCAGCTTTGTGACTGTGCTCCCAAGATTGTCCTCACCTGTCAGAGTGGAGCAGATCTCCTGAGACACCTTACCTTTGGGCTCTTAAACTTTGAACGTGAGGACTCCTCCAAATGTGTTAGAATGACACCAAACAGGGACAGTGAGTGGAGGGTTCTCTGGGTCTTTGTGGTGACAGAGGTGGAGGTAGGATCCGAAGGGAGATGGGCTGTATGTCTCAAAGCTGATGACACCTTTTTTTTTCCCTCCAGAAACACGAAGACACTGAGTGTCCCTGTGTGGTGGTGTCCTGCCCCCATAAGTGCAGTGTCCAGACCCTTCTGAGGAGTGAGGTAAGCGGCACGGAGAGGACGTGTTCAGCGGCTGGTGAAGTCTTTGGGACTAGTGTGCCGTAGGGTCCGTTCTTCCCAGTAGCTGAAGCCAAAGTTTTTACAGATCACGATACTGATACGTGTAGTAGAAAAATGATAACCCGTTTGTTGGGGCGTAAGAAATTTCAGAAGCAAGCAAATAAAAGCTGCAAGTGGTTAAATTCAGAGCCAGATGTTAAGAATTGAGAGGCCGGAATTACTTTATAGTGCAAGCAAAGGTAATAACTTTTTAGGTTCCCAAAGAAGAAGCTATTTTTTAATCTGTAAAATAGGAATTACTGTAAGATTATCTCAAACTAAATGACTTTACAGACACTCCAGAACCATTTGGCCACATATACTGCATGGGGTTGGTGCTAAGGAGCAAGGGGGCCCACATTTCAGGGGCCGGTGAGAAGGTACCTGCACAGCCTCTCCCGGTGCCCTCGGTACGCTTTCTTGAGGGTGGGTAGATTTTACATCTTACGTTATGTTAACGTAATTTGATCGGGATATATCCAGATGGAAAAATTTCAGGGATTCGCAAATGTTTTTGCATCCAGTACTGACCTGGAGCCCCTCTGGTTGCTGTTTTGGAAGCATCTGGGGCTCCCGTGGCTCAGTGTGCACCTGTGCCCCCTGGCCCCCACCCCCTTAGGCCCCTTAGGCCTAGGTGCTCCGATCAAAGGAGGCTGCTCACCTCAGCCTTTTTCAACAGCCTGGAATTTTACCACTGGGTATTGGGGAGGTGAGGGTCAGTGTCTCATGTCCCCACTGAGCAAGAGGACCTGTGTGGCCTGGAGGAGCCCCAGAACCAATCTCACCCACAGTGCATCCTCCCAAAAGGTGACTGTCCTAGGGAAGGGCAGGGCCTTGCCTGGTGACAGGGGTCCCTAGGCCTGGATGTGCCTCCAGGAGTAGCGCGGAAGTGCATACAGATTTCTAAAACTATGACGTCCCTCTGCTAAAGTGAATGGATGAAGAGTCTGAACTATTGAAGTGGTGACCCGGGTTTTTACTCCTTCTGGAGTTTTTACTCAGGGCTATGTCTAGGGACAGAAGCTAACTCCATTTGCCTCTAAGTTATTTTTATTTTAAAAATCTTTCAACCTGCATTTATCTCAGGTTTCTGGTGAACAATGCTCTTGGTCTGTAGATTATTCTTATCTCTATCCGACGCTCCCGTAAAGAATGATGGCGAAGGCTCTGGGAGCAATGGTAGCCAATTCAGGGAAAAGCACAGCCTTGGATTTATGGCAGTGCCCTGAAATCAACATCAGACACACGCATCCCTGCTTTACCACTAGGAGCGGTAGCTGGATGGGTTCATGATCGTACTGGGGCACTGAAGGAGCATATTTTAAAAAAATTTTAAGCTGGCATTACCGTGCACAGTCTCATGCTCCATTTCTGTGCCAGTCTCCTGTCATCTGCCTCTTGGGTGCTTCCCTCCAGGCACAGGCCAGAGCTTCCTGCCTGCGCTCAGAGGAACATCACGCATGCTAGGCTGCAGGCCTGTAACCGCCACGACTCTGCCCAGGCTCAGAGACCTTTGGCAGACGTTGGCCCGTAGGCTCCCCACTTGCCCTTCTCTGCAGCTGTCGCAACAGGGCAAAAGAGCACTTTCCTCTCTGTCCTAAATACTGACCTGAAGGAAAAGGATTCAAGGACTCTTCATCCTGCTGCACAGAGGAGAGCCCTAGAAGGGCATGGCCATGCGCCTCTGGGAGCACGTGTGTGTGTGTGCCTGCACGTGGGGAGACACATTCCCCGGGGCCGGCTCTGCGGTGCACTTAGACACCGCCTTCCCTAACTCAGGGTCTAATTGTTTTCCATAAAGAAGATCTACCCCTAGAGTTTTCCTGATGAGAATTTCTTCAATAAAAGAAGTTGTCCTTAAATCGTATTAGCTTAATGAATAGTGCCATGTCTTTAAAATGTAGACATTTCAATTCCCTTTTCTCTTGAGGGGGCATCATAAGTGGTTTTTATTTGACGATTTGCCAACAGTTAAGCTGAACAAAGGGGTTTTTCTTACCCCGATGAGTTATCCTCTCCCAATCTCTCCTAATTTTCTTCTACCAATTAGACGTGACAATATTAAGATTCATGTTGTTAGAATGACCCTAGCGATCTGTGAGAAGCTACATGAATTTATGGCCACTCAGAGGGAAAAAAAGTCTTTTCAGAAGAAGAAAAACTCATCTCGTTATTTTGAGTATTGAGAGTAATGGTACATCGTGTAAGCTTGCTCTGAAAATACAGTTCTCTCTGTGTACCGTATATTAGGTGTGTGACCCAGTTACATCCTGAATGCTTTCTCTTTTTTTGTGTTTCATGCGATTTTTGTTTATAGTCTTTAAATGTTCATTTCAGTTCACGTTTTTTCCCTTTTTTAAATTCTGGCGCTACAGACGGCATGTCACATTTGGAACGATTTGTTCTAGAGAAACTGCAAGTTTGAGAAATGTTACAGTAACTGTATTTCTGTATTCTGGCGTATGTATGTGTATGCACGTGGCAGCAGTGTGCACTTACTGCGGGTGAGTCTAGGAGGCAGAGGACGTATGCTCGCCCGTGGCGGACGACCCCCCTTGGTGACAGTGCAGACCAGATGCTCTCTGTGCCCTTACTGTGTTTGAACGTTTTCGTACGAGCGCCTGTGCCACAACTCACGCCTCTTTCCCGTTGCAGTTGAGTGCGCACTTGTCAGAGTGCGTCAATGCCCCCAGCACCTGTAGTTTTAAGCGCTATGGCTGCGTGTTTCAGGTCAGTATCCAACATCTATCCTTCCCCGTCACTGACGTTCTGCCCTGGGAGAAAGTTACTATGTTAGCGTCTTCTCGTGCAGGTTCTGCACTTGCAGTGTTTGCAGGGGCGGGGTCGCCCTGCTGCGTGGGTGACAGAGGCCGCACGCAGCAGCCGCGGGTGCTCGCTCCCCATGCCGGTGGCGTTCTGAGATTTCAGGGGGACGCCTGTGCTGAGAAGGAGGTCAGGACGTGAGGAGAACAGCCACCTCTAAAACCAGCTGGGAAGCGGGACACGTAGAACTGACCGTTGGGGCGGGGGTGGTTCTAGAGAGAGTGTCACAGAACCTGGTATAGGTGGATACAGCCCAGACACGGTTTGAGCAGTGTGCGCATCAGCACACAGTGGCGAGGACCGCTCTCGTGTGTCCGTAGACGCGTGTCATATTATCTATGCCACACCTCCCAGCACAGCCGCGTGGAGAGGGCGTCTCCGTCACTGCCACGCTGTGCTGCGAGAAACCTGTTTCTGGGGTTTTTGTTTTTGTCGTGTTTTGTTTTTAACACGTCTGAGATGGCTAGTGAATTTGAACTGAGTTTCATTTAAACGTATATCTTAATCTTAAAACTATCAGAGGGCAGTATATATTACAATTAAAGTATTTCATATTTAATTTTGTATGTTAGCAATAACAGTTATTACGAACTCAGTACAGAGATATTGGCGTCTCAGTATTTTCTTAGAAGATAAGAGTAAGAGTGACCGTAGCTTCCCCTTTGTCTCAGTCTCTTAACGAGACAGGGCCCTCACCACTGTTATGTCGTATGTAGTACCATTCATTCTGTGTATGTATATATATATGTTTATATATAGCGATACTTATATCAACATATATATATGAATATTCTATGTACAGAGTATATGTTTTGGAGATCATTAAAATGCTTTCTGTGGCTTCTTAATTTTCCAGTATCAAAACAAATTCTATTTTCATACCAATTATTTCCTTAAATATATGAAGTACTATTTCACGTGCTTACTATTACTGCTCTGAAATGGTCTCCATCTTATGTACTCTGTAGATTGTTTATGTTTTGTATGTAACTTTCCAAATATACTTAGAATAGCAAGGAACAGTACATTTCTAATACGGTGTATTTCACTACTAAGTTAATATTTTAGTAAATTATTTAGAATCCCACTTTGGTTGCGTGCCCACTAGATTGCTGTAGCGGTAGCTAGCTGTAACCACAGGTGTGTAAGCATTTTCAGTGTGCATTTTTAATGAAGAAACTTAAAAAAACGAAAATGATAGGTCTAAGATTTAATTTCTTGATATTACAAGTATGACACACAGGTGAGCAGGTGCTTGGTAAGAAGCTTGGGGAGCAAAGGTCATGAACTTGAGGTTGTTGTAGAATTAATTGCAGGGCACCTGCTCTTCCTCCCACCCCGAGCATGGCCCTTGGAAAGCTTTCTGTGGAGAAGGCTCCCTTTTTCCTGTTTAGAGCTGGTTTTAGGTCGTGTGTTAGTCTTGCTGCACTCTGTGAGGGGGGGAACATCGGCTTGATGCGCTGCATCTTTGTTCTCGCAGGGGACAAACCAGCAGATTAAGGCCCATGAGGCCAGCTCCGCGGTGCAGCACGTCAACTTACTGAAAGAGTGGAGTAATTCTCTGGAGAAAAAGGTACGCCACACTGTTTCTAGCTTTTGCTGGCTGTTAATAATCTCTTCAAGGGGCGCCTGGGTGGCACAGTCGGTTAAGCGTCCGACTTCAGCCAGGTCACGATCTCGCGGTCTGTGAGTTCGAGCCCCGTGTCGGGCTCTGGGCTGATGGCTCGGAGCCTGGAGCCTGTTTCCGATTCTGTGTCTCCCTCTCTCTCTGCCCCTCCCCCGTTCATGCTCTGTCTCTCTCTGTCCCAAAAATAAATAAAAACGTTGAAAAAAAAAATTAAAAAAAATAATCTCTTCAAATCATTTAAAGAAGAAAATATTTTTTATAGTTGCTAATGGTTTTGGATAAAAGAAACAGTATCAGGAGAATGTAAAAAAAAAAAAAAAAAAGTACATTTCACCTGACCCGGAGCTTACAAATGATGAAGGCGTTTGGGTTGGTTTGTTCTTTGTTAATTGCCGAGCAAGCGTGCGGTGCCTTTTTGTTTGTGTTTAATCACATTGTGGTTACCTTAGCATTGACCTAGAACGGGGATTATCAAACTTCCAAACCTTCCTTTCTCTCGCCATCAACCTCATCTTTTTATAAATAAAGTTTGATTGGAACACAGCTATGCTCATTCATTTGCCTGTGGTCCGTGCTGCGTACCCACTGTAATGGCAGAGTTTAGCGTCTGAGACAGAAACTGTACAGACCTCACAGCCCGAAATATTTACCCTCTGTTTTTTTTAGTGGAAAAGTTTGTCGACCCCCAATCTGGAAGGTGACCAGCGCTAAGTGCTTCAGCTTTCTCTGTCTTTGCTAGGAAAGACAGCTAGGAAAGGCCATTTTTCTAATCCTGGCGTAGGGGCTATCACTTTATGGAAGTTTGGAGCACGGAGCCCTTGTCCAGCGGGGTGTCTTTTCCAGAGGCCTCAGTTGCGGGGCCGGGAACTCCTCACACCTGCCCCTTGTGATACGTCTCCCCAGGGGAGCTTACTCCGTGGCATTCAGCTGGGCCAGGCCCTCTTCTCATGAGGAAAAGGTGAAAACTTCCAAGAATCAGTAGAGAAGAAGTGGTTATAGGAGCTCTCATTGTGGCTTCTCTACAACAATAAAAACTTATGTCAGTATTCCAGAAGCATTGACTGAGAATTTGTAGTAGGAGGACACTAAGGTGAATTAGAGCAGCCTGTTTATTTTCTGAAGATCTGTAGAGATTTGAATACCTTGCTTCCTGTGTTAAATTTAACCAATTTTTTTAAGTTTATTGATTTTGAGAGAGACAGAGACAGCGTGAGTCGGGGAGGGGCAGAGAGAGAGGGAGAGAGAGAATCCCAAGCAGGCTCCGCACTGTCAGCATGGAGCCCGACACTGGGCTCGAACTCACAGAATCGTGAGACTGTGTGACCCGAACCAAAACCAAGAGTCAGACGCTTAACCGACTGAGCCACCCAGGTGCCCCTAAATTCAACCAACTTAAAATATAAATGTATTTGATAGAGTCTAATATTTTAAATCAAAACATTTTTATTAACTCTGACATAAAGTATTTTTTTGCTGTAAATGCTGATGCTGAGGATGAGAAGCGTTAGAAGGGTGGGCATGTCACATGTACACACGCACACGTGTGGCGGGAAGAAGGGTCTCATTTAACGGTGAAATGAAAGTTGTGTTAGAGGAGTTGTTGATGGCTTCCTCGTGAACATATAGCAGTTGCTCTGAGTGAGTGATGGTTTATTGGTAAGTCTTTTTTTCCCCTTCTGTTTAAAAAAGGTGCTCTGTTTCTGCCTTTTAAAAATCACAGGCATAGATGTCAGGACTCTGTGTCTCATTGATACTCTGTTTCTCATTTTTTAAAAAATGTTTATTTTTGAGAGACAGAGAGCATGTGAGCACAAGAAAGAGAGCGGGGGAGGGGCAGAGAGAGGAAGACAGAGGATGTGAAGCTGGCTCTGAGCTGACAGCAGAGAGCCCAGCTTGGGGCTCGAACTCACCAACTGTGAGATCGTGACCAGAGCCGAAATCAAGAGTCGGGACGCTTAACCGATTCAGCCACTCAGGCGAAAAACACCCATCTTCTATATGACAGAAGCTTAAGTCTAAAGGAAATGTGGAGTACTCCAGCAAAATAGGCGGGGATAGATGTTGCTCTCGGTGAAGGGGTTCTCGGGGAAGGTCACAGGACTCGTTTTCATCTGCCGCGTGGATGGTATGCTCTGCTTCTTGGAAATGCACCTGCCAGGTAGATTTTCCTGTGAGAGCAGGGATCCGCAGGTGCCTAGGAATTGGATTCTTTGAGTAAAACAAAGAAACAAAGAAAATTTAAATTAGAAAGCTCCCTAAATCAAGAAATTAAGAGTTTAATGTGGCATGATGTATGTTCATTAATGTGAGATGTTTCTGTTCATCCTCTGGTAGCTTGATTTGCTGCAGAAAAGAAAATTGCCATTGATTTTGGAGATATTACCGAGATTTAAAAAAAATTTTTTTTGATGTTTATTTTTCAGAGAGAGAGAGAGAGAGAGACACAGCATGAGTGGGGGAGGGGCAGGAAGAGGGAGACACAGAATCCGAAGCAGGCTCCAGGCTCTGAGCTGTCAGCACAGAGCCCGACATGGGGCTCGAACTCACAGACTGCGAAATCATGACCTGAGCCAAAGTCGGATGCTTAACTGACTGAGCCACACCCGGGCGCCCCTTAGTCTGTTTTGTTTTAGAACAATGTGTATTTACTTGTTCAAAACTTGCAATGTCTCATGGGAAAAAAGAACACTTCACTTCCCTAGGATGTTAGCACAAACAGACTTTCCTCTCTCAACCACGGTGTCTCATGCCCTTGGGCCCCTGTAAGTGATGCAGACTGGCCATGTGCAACATCCCACAGGCAGGTCTTGCCTTTTCCAAAGTTACGATTCACTCACTCCCATCTCTCAAGGTAGACACAATTCCCAGACTCTATTCTCACAACCAAAAAAGAAATACCGTGCATGCAAGCTAACTTTTTTTTTTGGAAGAGAGAGTATGCGTGCACACACATGCAGACACGCACGCATGCAC